TTTTGCTGGACGATTAACTGACCAAGAATTTATTGCGATACACGATAATATTGACATTTTGAGACCAATTTCTACTATTATAATGACCATGGAATAAAAATGCAACTACATCCTCTCAATGATCAATAAACCTTACTTTCTAAAGAACATTTAACACAGGAACTGTAAGACAAACAAAAACAACAGGCCTAAATAAAACTGACTTGTTAATATAGAACTAGCCTAATGTGTCTGACTCACTGTGAGGACTTTTTCACAAAAATGCACTTGAATAAACCATTGTTGAACCAAATACAACCAAAGTATTAAATAAAATGGATTATTAAGTGCCCTTAAAAGTGATTTTAGTAACTGTCTTACATTGGAATATTGTGTCTTGTCTCTCTGTGGCTGCTGCTGCGGCCTTGTCATTTTGGTCATTTAAATGTTTGTCTTAACCCGCGACACAGGATGTTATTTCGCTCTGAGGGAGTCACTGTCCTGTCTGGTATCATGTCGGTGTCTTGTGGGATTTTTGTGGATTTCAGGTTCTTCCGGGGGTTAGTGGTCAGTGGTGTCGCTCGATCGGGTTTGGGTTTATCGGCTGTTGGGGTTTAAGAAGTTTCTTCTCGTCGTTTGCGTTTGTTCACTGCATTTGACGCACATGACTAGGGCTGGGTATCATTAAGAATTTGCCGATAAAATACATACCTCAATACATAGGTCATGATACGATACATATCCCGATACAGTGCACTTTGGATACAATACAATATATTTCAAATTGATACGATACGGTTCAATAAAAATAAAGGCTAAATCTCAGCTGTGATACTAAAAGTCTATGTTAAACCACTTCTTCTGCAAATTTAATATGAAACACAAACATTTTAATCATCAAAACAGTGAAAAATGTCAAATGTGTCGCATAAACAAGTTTCCTTCCTCTAAAGAAACAACAAAACTGTAGCTGTAACAAAATAATTTTGTAAAATATACCAAAAAAATACTCTTGGCGATATATCGATAAAGCAGCCCATGATATCGATACTGTATCATCACATTAGATGATACGATATATCAATATTTTGATATGTTTGCACACCCCTACACATGACTGTTGAGACATGTCCCGCTCACCAGTGTTGATTCGGCATCGTGACTTGTTTTGTCACACGGAGATGAACTGTTTTGGTTCTGACAGCAGCGCTTGTGTTGCGGCTTCATGTTCACCGCACAGACAGCGGCGCTTTCTGCTCTCAGACTACGCGTGCATCCACTGTGTCGATAAACACAGCGCACATTGGTTCAAGCGTCATTACACTTGTTAAACGAAAAGAGTCAGAGTGATAGAAGCATCCTAATATTCACCCTCTTTGAGAGCGAGAGAGAGTGAGGAAAACAAGCTGTAAATAGAATTTATCGTGGCCGGAAAAGTTATCAAGCTCGTTTAAAGTTATCGTACGATTAATTGATTTATTGATTATCGTTACAGGCCTATCCGAGCATTCATGATCCTGTTTTGGTGTTTGATTTTCAACAAAAAGATGAAGAGCTGCCACGTTTACATTAGAGCTTTAATTCCAAATAAAAATAATACAATTCTGAATAAAAATTTATTCTGCTTTAAAAAGACCATGTAAACACTTAATTCCTAATGAAAATGATTATTTGGAATTAACTTAATTCAGAAGTAAGTGGATGGTTTATTCTCATTTTAAAGCCAAATTCATTTATTCCTGGATCATGTTTCACGTTTATTCTTGTTAAAAATAATGTCGGTGGTTCAGTTCATGCTCGTTGTGTCGCCCTTCTGACGTGATCCAGACAATCCGGCTCCACCAGTCCTGGTTTAGGACTTTCTTCCACGTCTCTTTGGATTTGTGAGCAGGATGTGGGAGTGGGCTGAGGTAGAGCAGCCTCACACTCACTTTGTCTTCTTCCTCCTTCTCCGACACTCTTCCCTTCTCCTCCTCAGCTGACAGACGTAAAGTGTGATGAGAGAATTCTCCAGCTGCTGTGCAATTATCATCAGAACGACTGCGGAAAAAGTTTGGATCATGTTTGTGTCCGTGTCGTAACGACAAACCGAGATGACAGAAAAGCCGGTAGCAGCTGAAGTGTGTGTTTTACATCTCGTCGATGTAAATACGTTGGTGTCTCTGTCCAATCAGAACCTTCCCCACCCCCAGACCCTGAGCGGAATTAAATAAAGACGAGTTTTAACCTCAATTCAGAATTATTATTTCCATGTAAACTCGAAGGAGAATATTTTAATTCAAAACTATTTAATTCAGAAGAATTAATCTGGAATAAAAACAAACTTCTTCAATCTCGTCAATGTGGCCAGTGACTAACTGAAAAATGCTCGCTTTTTTTTTTTTTATGTAAAAGGCAGACTAACCTTATGATTTGATGAAGTTTAATCTGTCTCGATATAAATAATTTTTTTCATAGTACTTTTTTCTGCATAAATAGTTGTTTTTGCAAGAACTCTCATGCAAGGTAGTCTTTTGAGTGCAGTATGCTTTTGTCACACCCGCCAACTGTACAGACATAGTTAAACCTGCTAGTCACCACGCTCCAAATTGGAAGTGGGCTCCACTGACTCTGGTTCCAGTTCACACGCTATTGAAATACTGTGTCTCTCTGTCTGTAACTGCTGCTGTCAGACTCATTTTTGCCTTTAAATGTTCGTATTAACCTGCTCTATGTGATCCTGGTGTTTTTATTTCTCCATTTCATCTGTAAATCTGTAAAGATATGAACATTAATAGCAGATAAATCATCCTTCTTTCCCCAAGGTCACTCCCGTTATTGTTGGCACCAGCTTTGACTCCTGATTGGCTCTTTGGTTGCTATGATACTCACAGTGAGACTTCCAAATATGGAACTCAACTCCAAATTCGGCTCACCGTGTCTCACTGTGAGTTAACAGTCACTTTTATTAAAATCGTAAAACATAAAATAAACGACCTATTAAAGTGGAATTCATCTAAATAAAAACTACCCAATTATTTTTAATCTGTAGAACACTTCAGTTTGTAGCGAGGAGAAAATTCAGTTTGCCCTTCCCTAACAATGACATCTTTTTTTTTCTTTTTTTTTTTTTATTAAGTTAGACAAATTCACAGGCAGTTTATAAAAAGAAAAAAGAAAAAAAATACAATGATGAAAATGAAGAAAACTGAACTATTTTGAGTTACTATCACCAACAAAGCCCAAAGATTCATTTTTTGTGGCGTAAGCGTAAATAGAGCCCATTTCTAGCCTCAGTGAGCTTTATTTGGCTGGAACACCACACTCCCCTAGTCCACTTCTTTATAAATCTATGGTCAATTAGTCGATGACAGGTCTACACTTGTTATTATCGATGAGCAGAATTACAGAGCTCATTGTCTAGTCTGTTTTTTTGTCTTTTTTCTTCTAACTAACTCTGTATTTGTTTCCCAGCTGTGCCATACCCGCCCCAACATAAACTGACCGTCAAGGAGCTGTTCGAAAATGGGAAGCCCAACGCGGAGATGCTGAGGAACCATTTGGTGAAGGAGGGTCGCGTGGAGGAGGACGTGGCCCTGAAGATCATCAACGACGGGGCCAACATCCTGCGTCAGGAGAAGTGCATGCTGGAGGTGGAGGCGCCCATCACAGGTACAATGGACTCCACTCGGTTATGGTAAAAAGTGCACAGTGTAACTTTTTTAGCTGGGGGTCCGTCGCCTGCTTGTTTTTGTAGAGGTGTCATGTCTCTGCCTGGAATGTTCCACAGTGTGACATTAAACAGCTCTACTTTACATTTATTCAATTACAGGTGGTTTTAGAGCTCAAAAATACCTAGAAAAACAGACATTGTGACTGTGAGCGGGGTCGCCTCTCCACAGATCTGACCTGTAACTTGGTTTGGTCTCCAATTAGATACAAAGGTTTAATGCCATACTGTGAAACATTCCAGACAAAGTAATAACATCTCCATGGAGAAAAGCATTTACAGACCAGAAAAATTACACAATGCACCTTTAAAGGCATTGTACCCATTTTTCCCCCCATATATTGACACTTTGCATTGACATCAGCTTGGGGGAGGGGTGGCATGTATGTCTATGGTGGAATGTTCAGCAGTTCCCATGGTGACACAGTGCATACATTAGCAAACACTGGCAAAACAGTTTTAAGAAAACTTGAGAAAAAACTACATAATGGAATGAAACAACACACTTCTCCACACTCCTTCATGGTCCAGTTTTTCAACAAAACCTGAGAGTGACTTAAAAGGCCCATCTCATGCAAAATCTACTTTTTAGAGCTTTCTACCTTCTAAGAGTGATGTGTGGGCCTTGTATATGTCAACGGAGTGGTTTTTAGATTGATTTGGCGGGTTTTTTTTTTTAACAAATTGCAGCATATTTCTGCCACCCTCCCACGTGACAACGAACTAAAGCTGCTACAACGATGACGCAGCAGATACACCTATGACGTGTTTGACGTAGTACAAGGCGCTTCACACCTGCCCCCCTCCCCCGCCCACCGCCTCAACCCCGCATCAGCTGACAATTCCCACATGAACACCTAAACAAAAGCAACAGCATAATCTCATTGTTCTACACTACGACTAATGGCCAGGAAAATTCGGTAATATGAAAAATATCCATTTTACTCAAACAGTAGCTCTTTGTAATCTAAGTTGTAGCTCTTACACAAAATAATTCAGGAAAATATAACTAAACATACTCTTGGTGAGATATCGATACAGCAGCCCACAATACTGTATCATCAAATTAAACAATACAATATTTCAATATTTTTGCACTCCCGTATCATGTTCTGTCTCTTGATGAATGTGAGAGTGAGAGCTCAATAAATTAACTTCTTACTACTAAAATGTGTTTCTGTTCACAGTTTGTGGTGACGTACACGGTCAGTTCTTTGACCTGATGAAGCTGTTCGAAGTGGGAGGCTCGCCCAGTAACACTCGATACCTGTTCCTCGGAGACTACGTCGATCGAGGATATTTCAGTATTGAGGTAAAACTCTGTCTTACTTTGTCTTTTCTGTCTGCCGCCTGCTTGTCTCCATGGAGATGTTTACCTGGAATGGTCCACAGTATAGCACCAAACACTAAATATAGCTAAAAAAACAGGCATTCTTACTGTGAGCAGGCGCTCCTCTTTCCACAGATCCGGCCTGTAACCTGGTTATGTCACCTGCTTGTCTTAGGCTACGTTCAGACTGCAGGGCTTAATGCTCAATTCGGATTTTTTTGTGAAATCTGATGTTTTTACGAGGTCGTTCACATTTCCAATTAAATGTTACTTGTATGTGACTCCAGTGTGAACGTTAAACGGTCCAAAAGTGTCCCACATGTGCACTGGAGACACAACGACGTCAACCGCAGTGAGCGTGCTCTGTGTTTACGGAAGTTGTCCAAACATGGACGCAGCATTGAACACCTGGAGATTTTAAAGTTCCTCTCGTACCGGAGCCAGAACATGAACAACTTACTTGTTTTAAGCAGGAAATTGAGAAGGAGAAGGACGAGGTTTTTGGCCGTGGTGTTTTGTGGGACAGTCTGTTGAAAGGAACGTGTGGATGTGGAGACGTAGCCAAGAGTGGTGAGTGGTGATGTGCTTCACTTCAGTGACACGGAGTTCATTAACAATTTTCGCCTACTTCAGCGCAGAATAGTGACGTTTGTGGCTTGTTGATAACGTGTAGGTGGATAAATGCGCCTTGGCCGTTCAGACTGAAGTCGCATGTCAAAAGAGTGGAAATGTATCGAGTTTTAGGAGCACATATCCAAGTGTCCTGGGTCACATTTGAGACTGTCATTAAAAGACCAGATACAGGTTACATAGGGGCCAAAAAATCGGATTTGGATCACTTCAGGCTGCAGTCTGAACGCAGTCTTAGATTTAGATAAGTTTAATGCCATACTGTGAAACATTTCTTTCAAAGCAACATCTCTGTGGACTAAGGACCTAATCGTGTGCTACAAAAATCTTCTGTCTGTTCTTGTGGGAACTGTGTCCCAAAGTTCCAGAGTGCACCTTTAAAGTGTAACTAAACTCGACTTCCTCTGTTTCATTACTCAACTGTGTAGATGGTGTTTTAAGAGCGCTGTGTGCTGTTCCTAGTCATTTTGAACAAATCTAAGCATGTGCTCCCTTCAGAGGCGCCCACTTTAATTATCCAGTGTGGCCTTGGTTCGTTTGTTTTGTATTTCACAGAATGTATTGTTATTGTCCCTGCTGTATCATTCACAGAAATTCAATATGGAACAGTTCATATCATATTTCAGTCATCTTTCAAGTCAATCGATGTGAATGCTTCTGGGTATGTTTAGATTTCCTCTGGGAACTGAATCTTGAATTTAAAACAACAAAAAGGCAAATCTGAGCACATATCTTTGAGAAAATTATATTATGAATCCAAACCAAAAAAATTCAACATAAAATGCAATACTTTATTACAAGTATCCGATCTTGACAATCAATAACAATGACAATCATGCAATGGGCCACTCTTCTCTGCCTTTTACTGCTGATTGAACTGGAGGTCTCAGCTGAAATACAAGCTGTGCTGCCCTGCTCCTTGTCTCCCAGGCCATTTCAATGACAACTCCAAAGGGCACATTTCATGCATACTGATTGGAACAGTTAAAAATAAGACCGAGGTTTTCGAATGGCAGCGTGGATTTACAAGACCCTCTTTAAAGGTCTAGCCCAGGGTCAGGCCAGTACAGCGTTCTGTGGGAGCTCTATTATACTGAGAACAAATGAGGGCCACTGGGACCACAAAAGCACTTATTTCATGTCGTTTTCAACGTAACTGTTTTAGAGTTACTAATGTATTTATGGGGCTGAATAATTCTGGAAAACATGTCTAACTGGGAGTTTTCAGACGAGCTTTGCGGATTCTGTTGAAACTTCACATTTTAAATGCAAACCAGAGTCACATTTCAGAACATGTTTGTACAGATCAGAACTACAGGCTGTTTTTGATGCAGAATAAGACCGAAGATTTTGTTGTTTGAGAAGAAAATGTGTTTTGTGTTGCTTTTTGTTGGATGAAATGCACTCTATAAATAAAGTTTGATTGATTGGTGATTGAGGAAATCATTAGGGATTGGCTTACATGGACTTTTAGGGTATTCGATAATTGGCCTGCTGTTGTGGCCGATATTTACCGATATTTAGCTTTTAAAATCCATAGCAAGGCCCACGCTTCTTAAAAGTGCCCTGCACAACTTTTCTGGTGGAGGGTCAGCTACCTGATTATCACCATGGAGATTTTATTGCTTTTCCTGGAATGTTCCATGGTATGACATTAAACATTTCCATCTAGCTTTTATTCATTATGTTTCTATTGATCAAAAATACAGTCATTCCTTCTGTGAATACATGCATCACGAATTTCGGACTTCTGGTCATTGCGCAGTGCCTACTGGGAAGGATTTTCCGAAAAAAAATTTGCATCAAACCGCCATGTTTATTTTCCCAGTGGGATGTGTCTATTGTCAAAGTCGATCTTTTCTGGTCTTTTGAACCATATCACTTTTGTTTCTGCTTCTGATATTGTCATATTTTAGTTTTGGGATTCGGACATCGCAATTGTGGTTATTGGATCCTAACAGCAGAAAACGGCTCGAGAAATGGGCTTTGGAAGTTTGTGAACTCCATAAATGCAAAAGGGAATCAGATGTGTGTGACTCAAACCTCTGTTCAAACTGTTTTCCTTCCCAACGGAATTGAAAAATAGTGAAAGGTGAAGGCGATGGGCAGGATTGATCCACAGGAAGGACCAAAAAGGAAACCTTTGACTGCCTAAATCATCCCGAGTTTGCAGTGAACATTTTGTATGTGGAGCACCAACAAAGAGGGATCTCATTTGTTAAGTGAGAGGTGCAGAAGACAAACAGACTGAGCTGCACTTTGTTCTTGTGGTTTTATAGTAACATCACGTCTTGGTCTCTTTGCGGTGGAAGGTGTTTCTTGGTGAACAGTTGGTGCCTTTCGCTTTGGCGTTGACTTTTTAAATTCGTAACCAAAGTGGAGTGCTCCACAGACAAAATGTTCACTGCAAACTCGGGATGATTTCTTAGGCAGTTTTTGGTCCTTCCTGTGGATCAATCCTGCCCATCGCCTTCACCTTTCACTATTTTTCAATTCCGTTGGGAAGGAAAACAGTTTGAACGGAGGTTTGCAGCCACACACATCTGATTCCCATTTGCATTTATGGAGTTCACAAACTTTGAAGCCTGAGCCGTTTTCCACTGTATCCAACATCCACACAATTACACAATTGTCATAATCCCAAAACTAAAATATGACAATATCAGAACTAGAAACAAAAGTGATATGGTTCAAAAGACTAGAAAAGATCGACTTTGTCAATAGACACATCCCACTGGGAAAACAAACATGACAGTTTGATGCACACTTTTTCGGAAAATCCTTCCCAGTATGCAATGCACAATGACCGGAAGTTCAAAATTCGTGATGCCTGTATAGGGGTGACTCTCCACAGATCTGAATTGTAATGGTACTTAGTGTGGTAGTTTGCTTGATAGATAAGTTCAATCTATACTGTGGAACATTCTAGACAAAGCACTAGAAATGTTATGCAGTGTGCTTTCAAGTTGAAGTAATAATCATCTTTTCACATCTGGAAAAATAATAGAGCGGGGTCGCCTTTCCACAGATCTGACCTGTAACTCAGTCTAGTTTGGTCTCTGTGAAGATACAAAGGTTCAGTACGAATACTCTGAAACATTCCAGTTACACAAGTTTACACCTTTAAAAAATGTCGACCTTTGCGGTTTGTTTATTGCGTCTATTTTTTAATTACAGTTCGATTCGATTTTAGCCCTATATTTTTTTTATTTTTTAGTTTTTTCGTGAGTGAGAACTGTGTTTGTAAATCTAAAAATACTGATGTGGAGCAGTGGAGGAGCTGCAGCAGAATTGGTAGAGTTATTCAGGTTAGTGGGTCATCCATACTGTCCTTGTGTCCTTGAGCAACACCGCCAGCCCGAGGCGTCTGTCTCAGTTCTGTCGCTTACACTTAGCAATAACGACGAAGAATGAATAACGTGACCCAACTCTGACCTGGTTAGTTACATAATGCATTTTTTATGAATCTGTATTACCAGTGGCAGTCTCTCGCTCAAAGTGGACACATTATGCAAAAGCGATTATTTTTTTTAAACCTTTCTACCATGTTATAACGTTGTTCCTTCATCAAAAACATGCCTGAAGAAGTTTTAGATGTCATCCATGCATGTTTGAGTAATTTAGCGATCTCTCCCGGGCCCTATTCGAACCCTCCTTACGCTTAGCTGTAAGATTCTGTGCAATGCTCCATAAATATCCAAAAACATGATACAAAACTGTACACTAGAGGTCTGCGTGGGACAGAATTTTCAGTCCCGGTCCCACCCGTTCCCGCACTGTGCAGTCCCGCTCCCGACAACTCCCGCAAAGAACTGTAATTTTCAGTCCCACTTCCGCCAGCATCTGCGATATTTTGTCCCGCAGGATGGGAACCTTTGCTTTCTTAAGTTCTATCAAACACGGAGAAGCGAAAGGAATTGGGCTGCGTGTGGGAGGAGGAGCGGTGGGCGGTCCAGTGGCATGGTTAAGACCTGGATAAATCCTGTTTTAGTCTTGGTTTTAGACCTGGTTTAGTCCTGGTTTAGTTCTGGTTTAGTGGCGCAGCCCGCGTGACCTACGGGATGGGACGGGAGACAGTCCGCGCGACGTACGGGACGGGACGGGGGACAGTCCGTGCGGCGGGACAGTACGGGACGGGGGGGGCGGGGACTCCGTCGGGACGGGTGCAGCTTACGGGAAATGTTTTTATTAATGCGACGTAAATAATTACAATATACATTCATCATTTGTATATTTGACTTTACACTCATATTTAGTTTGCGGGACTGCAGTGAGCTTTCAAAGTGTGTCCCGCGCCGCACTGTTTTGCGTCAGGTCCCGCAGGGCTCTACTGTACACTACGACTTCACAAA